AGAGTTGAGTCATAAGAATATAAAGAGCAATTGCAGATTTTACAGATTGGTTACAATGTATCTGCAAAGCAGTTGTGCTCTCTGGGAGGAAAGGCCTTTACATGCTCAAAGAAAATAAATAAAATGCCGGGTGTCCCCTCTAAAAACACTGCATCCAACCACGGTGTGTGCATACTCAAAGCACAGTGCTGCTAATGGGAAGGTGTGGCATCTTCTCAGCCCACAGTGTAGCTCACACTGTCTCCATAAAGACAGGAAAAGCATAATGGGTTACAAACACTTGGCAGCAACAGTAACAGAAAGGTGTCCTAGGCTGGGGGTCAAGAGAGAACAGATTTCCAAACACCGATCCAGAGAGATGCTTAAAATAGCAGTTACAGCCTTTGCACTGCAGGCATGTCTGCCTCTGATCTTGTAACCAACAGAATGATCCACAACTTGGCATGACAGCTACGTGCTAGGAGGCATCAGAGAGAAACAGAGGGCGTGGCGCACGCTCTAGGACCCTACAAGCAAATAAGACAACACCCTGGGTTTACAGTTTGAGGAAGACGGTGAGCAACGACCAACCAAATGAACCAAGTCTTCCTATACCTCTGGTATCAGCATCTAGTGGAAGTTTTCAGGACTTTCCAGATAGTAGCCAGAGTTTAAGAATCAGAGATAATCACAAACTTTTAAGTATACATAGATACCTGATGGGTAAGGCCTCTTCCCATGCCGGCACAGCCGAGTGCCACTGCCCAGCGGATACCCCGGAGCTGGTGGCCCATGGTGGCAGCAAGAACTCAGGAGGCACCTCAGTGTCCACTCACCTGAACAGTCATCTGGCTTGGTCCAGCACAAAGCACACACCCCTTCCCAAACGTAAACTGCCCCAAGGTAAACCACGTTCTCTCACTGAAGGATGCAGCACATAAAAATCTGCCTCGGAGCATCTACAAAAGGACTCAGCCGCCCCACGTTGCCGTCCCACTTGTAACTCCGTCTCACAGACGGAAGGATGAGAAAGCTACAATGGTGGGAGAGGACCTGGTGACATTAAAATAAAAGGAAAAATAAAGTACCAATTACCTGTAAAAGTAATTTTTAAGGTATTACCATTACTTAGGTGTGTAATAAATGCATTCCTGAAATTTTCTGGAAAAAGGAATCATTTTGAGTGCACCTCAGAAACTGGTGATTTTCATATATGCTGTTAAAAACAGCATACTGCAAAGTTCAGAATCCTTTCATAATTTATTATTATAGTCACTTTCTATAACAGCACATACAAATCTTTACTGAGCTCACTTAAACAGAGATCCATACATACACAGAAATAGGTCCCTAAGAGTTAAGAATGTGGGGCTGGCTAAGGAAACATGGAAGAAAAGGTACAGAAGTCACGCACTGCCACAGATGATCTGGGTTGTTTATCTATGAGGCCTGGGAGAGCTACTGACTGTGTCCTCTCTGGCCTGGTGAGAGCTACCTTCTCTCCCCAAACAAAAACTGCTTTTCTTTCCCATGTAGCCAACCCTGCCAGTTCTAAGCCTGTCCTCTCACCCCGCCCCCACCCCACCCTAGTGCCTTCAGGTCTGAAGTGCCTCTCACAGCCAAAGGTGGGAAAGATGGCCCAGAGCTGATGTGGATCTCAGCCCAGGTGTGTAGGTGTGCCAGACACCCCTGCAGCCCCCGGGGGAGAGATGAAAAACCAGCCTGGGCCTTAGAACACACCTACCTGGCAAGGCGGCCAACCACACAGACGACTCCTAAGATGGGGGGGGGGGGTGTACTCCTCCTGGCAGAGGGCATGACAAAAACCCAGAGGCCCCGAGAAATCACACCTGCACTCAGCATGACAAACAGACCACCCCCCCCCACTGTTCCCAGGGAAGGGGGACAGGAGGTAGCCAAGAGGAGATGGAGCCACGCTGTCCAGTAATGGGCCCAGCGGCCCTGAACTCACTGCCTGCATGTGGAAAACAGAACAGGTTTGGCTAATAAATGGCCTCTTGTGTACAAACGACTTCCCTTTTCTTTCATTTTGTTGTTTAGATCCTCCCCCCCCCCCCCCGCCGCCCCAAGTTTTGTATTTTTCTGAGGAGGGAAAGATAGGTACTTAAGGTCAGGCAGAGCTCTCAAAAGTCAGCTTGGAGGTGGCTTGCTCAAGAAGCCAGGTTCCCAGGATGAGCTGTTTTAGGGACCTCACTGACCAGTGTCCAGGTCTAACGGTTAGTTCAGTGCTGAAGACAGGGAAATAAATGGATGCTTAACTACAGTTTTAGCATCACAGTGGGCCAGCCTCGTCAATACCATTGGGCAGTCTTTAAAGCTACTGACACTGAGCACTGACACGGGTCATTAAAGGTGCTGGATCCCAGGATGGTAGTGTCTGCAGTGTGCAGTGCTGGGCTACCCAACAGCTGGTCCAAGCCTGTTCTAAGGTTTCAGGAAAGCTGGGACGCACACACAAAAAAACATCTTCTGTAGGAAACTTTTTAAAAAGTGTTGCACAGACCAAGGAGAAAAAAAAAAGTCAGATCTTTTAAAAACTTATTCATATGCACTTTTTGCCTCATACTGTTTTTATGTTCATTAGCATCACTTTTTTATCATTTAGCATTTCTTAAAGGTTTTATTTTGGCCTTAGGTAGGTACAATAAAAGGAAATTGTACTGCGAAACTTTAGGCCTTTTTTTGGTTTTATCAGCATAGGTTGTACACCAAACACTGAGACAGACCTTCAACTGTAACCTTCCAGATGCTTCTGGGGGCTTTGGAGAGAGTTACAACAAGAAGGAAAAAAACTTTTGAGGTTGTGAAGCCATAGAGTACTTTGTTGCTGAACAGCATGGTCACCAGATGTGGGGAAATATTTCCAAAGTGCAATTAAAGACCAAGCATTTTCATCATTGGCTGGAGTTTATGTCAGAAGACAAGACCTCTGCCTCCCTTTTTAGAATAGGTAAAACCTTTGATCCTTAACAACCTGAGAGAGAAAACAAAGCTGTACCTTTTATTTACTTATTTGCTAAAAACTACAATAGATTCAACCACAACTGAAATGGAATGATGTAAATAAAGTACTTCATTGAAACCAGAATTTTTCCCATGCATGCAGCACTTATTAATCTCGATAGTACGGTGGGAAAGCAACCCCTCTAAGCCCTCAAGCTATTTGCACAATTGATGATGATTTTCTCCATTCTCAATGGAACTGCCTTCTCGAATTTCCACTGTCATGTTTTCCCAAAGACTGTTAGCAGGTGCTGTGACCTGACTCTGCTGCAATGATGGATTTTTGGCCAAGGTTTGTCTTAAAACTTCATAGCTATACAACTTAAACATCATAATATAGCAAATACATGTTTTAATATTCAGCTAGAAAAAACTATTTGCATACTTATAAAAACCGGAGGAAGAAAGGTCTATGTGAGATGTAGGATTTGGACAGGCCAGCTTGGGTTTGTACTGGATCTGAAGCACAAACATTTTTGAGATCCCCTAAGACGGCTGCACCACTGTTACCTTCTTTGTTCAGAGCTGTAACATCTAAGATTTGTGACGCCCCCGGGTGTCTCCAGGTGTCTCTGAAGGTGCTCTAGAACTCCCTCCACAAAATGGCAAGTGAAATAACTTAAACTCACTTAAAAAATATGCCACACATGTTCGGAGGCAAAGGAGGGCATCCTGAAATTGAAAGACCGGTCATTAAGTATTACAAAAGTTTGATCTCTGTCAATTCTATTTTAGTCTAAACTAACTAATAAATAGAAAAAATAAAGAAAGAAATTTAAGCAAGGTGAGGTGGTCTGTAATATGTGAGTTTGTGGTTGGGGGAGACAGGGAAGGCGCAGTTACTTTGAACACTTATTGTGGAAAACCCTTTTGACCTCTTTCTTTACTAGTGAAAGAATCAGTGCTGACTGGCAAATGAAAGCCCAGTACGTTGCTCCTGTCCACCTAGTTGCACTATGACGGTCATTTTCAACCAGTGAGCCATAGGAATTTTTAAAACTCAAAATACCTGGCTATTCAGTCAAGGGCACTGACCTCTTTTCCCTTTGATTGTCAAACTGAAAAAGTGACAACAGCCAACACAACAAGAAACATCTGGTATGAATGAATCAAAATTGTAACTATTTTTTTTGTCAGATTGGCAAAAAACATACTACTACTTTTTGATGTGGCGCAGAATTTTAGTAATTCGTTTATGTCTGCCATGAGATGAAAAAGGTTGAAAATCACTGCACTAAGACTTCTGCATCTTAAAATGGACCGAGAGGATTCAGTATTAGTTTCTTTAAAACCAACCAACCAGCCATCTAAGAACCACAGACACTGGAAGCTAGGTAGGGTAAACCTAACTTTGTCGGTTTTTCCCTCAGCTTCTCATTTAAATTGTTATCCTGAGATTACTTGGGGTTATACATCACTGCTCTGCAATATCCAATTCTAACTTCCTTGGTCACCACAAGGATAGTAACTAAAAGACTTTTTGCCATTGGGAAGCTGGCTTATAGACACTGTCTCTTACTACAGATTTGAAATTTCCAATGAAATGTTTCCAGATGGGTTATTGCCCTCAGGTTCACAACTGTCTTTATTCAGAACACTGATATCTATTTATTAGATATCAGTCAAATCTAATAAATTGAAACATGAATTTCCTCGAGTCACACACATATGCACTTAAAAAAATCACTAAAGAAAGCACAATTTTTCATTAAATAGAGCTGCCTTTTCCCTAGAGAAATCAACTTTACTGTTCACTCTTTATTTTTCGTATCATTTCCTATTCAAATTTAGACCCACATTTTTCATAGGCCCTAGAATTCGAGCAAGAAATTCCTTACTGATTTTCATTTAATCCTTCATCTACCCTGTTAACATTGCTTACCAAGATGACCAAGCAAAGTTGCTTTTAAACTAGGTTTTTTTTTTTATCACACTTCCAAAGTTTTCTGGAGTCAGACACCTGAAAGGTAGGAGGAGAGGACAGAAAGTGCTCTTACCTTATTTGTAGCAGTAGCGCTGGATCCAGGGACCACAGGCACGTTCGTCACTTGAACTGAAAGATAATTATTATCTATGAGTGGCCAGGCCCCTTCCACTTTGCACGTCTGGAAGTGATCCTTGAAAGTTCTAAGGTGAGGATCTCCGAACAAGCCACAGAAAAGGTAATTAGGAGGGTTCTGGTCTCCTCCCCTGTGTTCTCTGGCTCCTGCATGGCTGTGATAGTTACAAGGGTCATGGGTCACTTCAGGGTTGGTAGAAGATGTGGGTCCATCCTTGGAACAGTTCCTCTGGCTCATGAGGTCACTGATACCCAATACAGCAGAATGGTATACCAGGTTGCCACGGCAGGCTTTTGAAGTTCGCTGGGTGCAGCCAGCATAGGCACGCAGGGCCTTGCAAAACTCAGAGTCAAAGCCGTCGATGGCAGAGTTCAGGTGTGAAGTCAGGGAAACAAAGTCCGTGGTACATTTCTGGATCCGACACTGGGCCGGTTGTTGGCAGTCACCTATGGGAAAGAAGATAAGAGCACACATTTCTTAGACGCTTCATAACTTCCTGAGCTACATGAGAAAATGGCATTCTCCTCTGGGGACTGCTTGTTCTATTTCATATACTCCTATTTAGGAAGGCCTTAAGGAATAGGGCTGCATTGCGCTTCTGTGTCTCTACATATTAAGCCACTGGCGGAAAAAGTGCATGCAGTTAGTTAGCTTAGAACTTTAAAGCATGGGTCATTGTAAGTGAGTATGAATCTATTCTTAAGTTAATACTACAGGGAGTGGTAAATGACATATTTTATCAACTTTGCTATTGTTTATGGATTTTGAGAAAGATTCTCTTGCTCTAAGGCCAAGCAAAAGATGTGAATGTTGTTTTGATTTTGAAAGCTGCCTAAGTAATTTGCTTTGGAAAGCACTGTCTATGCCCAAAACCACAATTAAAGCATCCAAAAGTCAGGAAGGGGAAACCCCCTAATTATAGCACGATTGGTTAAAACACCTTTACCTGATTCTCTGTTAGCACAGCTAACAGAGGAAGAATAACAAGAAAAAAATCCAGGTACTACCTTATTCTGCATTCGTGATAGACGTTTATCAGCAAACTGTATATAAACTGACAGTCTCCTGGATTTTGCAAGGTATAAATGTTCTCTTAGAAAAAAATAAAGTGATTCATTTGACCAAGCTACGTGTTCACCTCTCCTGTAACGTCCATCTCCCTAGGATGCCGAGCCCCCAAACCACACCGGTGACAGTGCACGGAAGCGAGAGGACACTGAAATTATACTGCAGAAACAGAGGATTCCAACTATGTTCTTCAGAAACACAACAGAATTCTCAGAGTGTGTAGAAGTAATTTTTCTTTAAATTGATGATGCATATCAACTTAATGACTGAAGCAAAGTAATGAAATTAAGTCATGAAAAACCAGTGCCCTAACATTTAAAAGCTCAATTTTCTAATGATGTTTTGCCACTAGTTTCTCACATAAAAATTTACTAAAACCTCTCAAAGCACAAAAATCTTAAGACTTGCCAAATACAAGGTCAGTCACGTGTACCAGTTTTTTATTCTGTTCCATAAAGTGGAAACACCAGAATTACTGGAAGCAAAATCCTTTTATCATCCACCTCAACTTTTATAGACATGAACTGTAACATGTATGAGTTATGCATTCTTGATAGGTCTCTAAACTCTGAAGGTCTCAATCTCTTCAAGTCTAAGGTTCTTCATCTGAAAAGCGAGGAGGTTTTTCTAAAATAAACTTTCTGACACTTTTCATGAAGTATCTTATTCTAGGTGGGAGGAAAACAGGCAGCTGAGTATTATTAAATATGTAATTATTTAAAGATGTGGGCATAATCTTCAGGATGATATTAAGATTTATGACTTCATCTGATAAAGACTTACTAAAATGGTTTTTAAATAAAAATAATTTAAAAAGATATTTTAATCTTTTCAGTAGTAAAACTGCTTTCAAATCTAAATTAAATAGCCTGTCATCTCTGGCTTTGGCTTCAGTTGGGCAGAAAAGGGTAGGAGATGACCACTTCTCATACCACCCCAACCACTTTTACATTTCAAAGTCCAAAAAGGAAAAAGTGCTGTAGTTTTGATTGAATATTCACTCTGAGTAAAAAGAGAAGATTAAAATCTTAATCACAAAACTATCTGTGTTTGGCCTCTTTTTATGTTTGATCATTACAAAGTTAACAAAAGCAGCTCTGATATTTATAGAATTCCTCTCTCCAAAGAAGAGCGGAGTTTTCAACTATTTTTACTTAAAAAAGCAAAACAAATAAATAAATAAAACCCAACTGATCAAGCAAAAAATGAAAACAAAACACCCCAAAAGCCATTGAAGCCATTTAACAGATGGAAAAAAATCACGGCAAAGGCATCTCTAAGGCCTTGTGCTGGCTGATCACACACAGCTAGTGCGAAGCCCGGGAAGTGGAGCCTTTCCTCCAATCCCGTTTTCCTTTCCTTCCTCCACACATCGCAGCCCCTAAGTGCCTGATGCTCAAAATGGTACTTGATAGCTCAAGTACAAAAAAGATTTAAGTAACTAATGTATCCATTTTCCCCTTTTAAGTCAGATTCACAGCAAGCAGAAAGCAAGGAAATAAAAACTGGGCCAAAATCACTCAGTAATGAAAAGCCCTCAGACTACATATAACTGACAGTACAAGAACTTTCCACTGAACTTGCAGTGCCTATTTGTTCTTTTTATGGTCTATAAAATCTATCTGAGCATCCATTTTCTTATAATTATTTCAAATAGTCATAAAATACCAAGAGTAAGAACCGTGTGGAAATGTAGATGCAACTGCTCAGAAGGGAAGAGAAGCAGAATTCAGACCCCAGCTCCTTTTCTGTTCCTTCCTCATTCTCTGCTCACCCTTCCTTCTCCATAGTAAGTACGTGCTGGGAAAACGGAACTTCTTGGGTTCTTCTGCTTTGGAGTAGGTTTCTAGCAGCCTTTTGGAGTAGAGATAATGGGAGGGAGGAAGGCTAATTAGAGAGCAAGTGCATTTGGTCAGCGGTTTCAGCCCCTTTGCAGACTCCTGTAGAATGATTAATTTGTAGCATATACCCAGAAATATCCAGGCTTCATGAATTTATAATGACAACACACACTTTGCCTGTTACAGGCGGTAAAGTAAGCCTCCTGACAAAATGCCAAGACAATGAGGAGCAGAAACAATCTCAAGGATGTAGCCAAGAAGCCTATGAAGTGTATGAATAAGTAACCCCCATACTGTATCTCCAGTCAGGAATTGCAGAGGTTTGCTTAAGGGGGGGGGGGGGGCATAAGTACTCTTTTCATTTCTCAAGGGCAGAATTAAAAATCTGCAGTTACAGATCTCTATTTTTTAACTCAGATTATCTGTGATTGGTGTGATAGTATTTTCATTCCAGTTAATGAAAGTGCTAAAGGATTTTTGAGTCTAGAACTTTCCTTAATCTTAATGACTAAGACGTAAAGACCTCGCCATTTAAGACAGTTTTCTCAATGCCTAGACTGCATGTGTGAATTTGCAGCACAATCACCGGTTTACAATAAAAGAAGCAAGATAATTCAGCTGAAGCTGAATTAAGTGAAATGTGAAGCCATATGGGTTGCTGAGGGAAATTATATGAATCCAGGCATCAAACATATGGTAGCCCATCTGTAAAGAGCACTTTGCTAGGCTCCCTGCTCTGAGTAACAAGCCCTGCATTTCAATAGAATTGCTCTTCAAAGAAATCTCTCAAAAGGAGCTCTCTTTTCTATAATGAGATTAATTGCTCCACTTCAATGAACTGTCCAGAGAAATCACCATAGCCACTCTAGGTAGAATCTGATGGTGACCTTAGTGAGGGCGTATCAAAATACTGAGAGGAGCTTCATATTCCAAGCTCTTGAACTAAGTAAGGCACCTTGATTTTCTAAACATTTAAACCAGCTTCTTTGGTCTTTCTTGGGCCAGCAAAGAAATCTTCAAGGACCAGATTCCAATCCTGTCAGAGGAAATTACAGCAACTAAGGGAAAGAATATCTAAGCAGTCAAGGACACAGTTCCACCTAGCCCTTCAATTTCCATTCCGAGAAACCCATGCTTGGACATCATAGACACATTTTTCACACAAATCACCCGAGTATATCTTTTGACACCTCACAATCAATTTTTCATGTAACTGTAAGCAGATTGAAATTACTTTCTAAGGTTCTAAAGTCACTAACTGAAAACCTTAATCATTCTAAACTTGCCATTACATTCTTTATTGAGACTTCAGTTTGTTTTCCCAAGTGACAGTGTTAAAATGCAGCTGTTACCTCACAACACAAAGTTACACGAGGTAAATGAAGCCCTTTTCAAATACCACATTTCCCCCCACTACTTAAAAAGAGCCTCGGATTTTGAGAAGGGGTATGACTCAATGAATAAAAGTTACTCCCTACATCAGGATGGCATTAAAGTCCAGGATCCTCCTGATCAGACCATGGTGACTCCTGTCATACTAACAAAGGACAAGAAGGTCTGGAAGAACAATTTATCTAACACTCTAGTTGTTCTCAAACTAAAAAAAATAATTTAACTTTCATTTGGCATTTTAAAAATTCTTTGTCTAGACAAACTCCTTAGAAGTTGTCTTGTTTGTAAGGAGCATCCAATATTACCGTCCCCCATCTTAATTGCTACTGCATAGCTGAAATTTAACACTGTATTAATGAAAGTATTTTAAACACAAAAACAGTATCAGTTTAGATGGCTCGTTTTCAGAGTTAATTTTCTAAGAACAGATTCCTCACTGCTGCTTCCACAGAGGAAGCGCTGACATCCAGACGGCAGCGTATCTGTCACTCCGTCCCAGATGGAACACGCGGCTAGCCACAAAGCATGAGTTTTTCCAAAGAGGTTGAAAGCTGAATTAAAAGCAGCTTTCTCAAATACGAAAGAAATCCCGGTTTAAAGAAGTTTAAGTTACTTCAAAATTAACCTCCCAGTTTACAAACTCTGGTGAAAGTCTTTCCATCTGGTGCGATTTTTTTCACCTCACCGCCACCCCCAACTCCAGAGCAGCAGCACAAGGCTCCTTGTCTGCCCTCCGAGTAGGCGGCGGCAGAGGAAACCTGATCCCAGCCTGACTTTCAGTAAACACCAATGCAGAGAGCAATAAAGCATCCGGAACATTTGTCTCAGGCGCGCAGCTCCCGCCACCCCCGCCTGCTAAATCTCTGATAAGCGGCTGTTGGACGGGAAATTTATCAACGTCCCAAACCGAAGACGAAGACAGAGGAAGGCCCAAGGGAGGGACGGGAAGAGGCCTCTCCCCTGCTTTCTGGGCACACCGCACGGTCGCCGGGCGTGTTCTTACTGCTGCGCCACGACTAAGGTGCACGTCAGGGGCTCAGAAGGAGGCCTTTCCAGTCTCACCGCACAGCCCTTCCACCCTGGCCAGCGCCTTCGAAACCCTAGGTGATTGGGGACAAAGCACAGGGCCCTGGGGCTGGCTCCCTCGCGCACGCGCCTCGTACCTGCGTGGAGCAGCCCGAGGCTGAGCAGCAGCAGCAAGAGCAGTGCCAGGGGAGGCGGGCAGAGCCTGGGGCGGCGGCGCTGCTCAGCCTCGGAGTCTGTGGCGGAGGCGGCGGCGGGGCAGGAAGGTGCTGCTCTCAAGCCCATGCCCGTCCATGCAGGTCTTGTGGGCTCCGGCGAGGGCGGCGGCGCGGGTGCCGTGGCGGGTCCGGAGCCGTGGCTGCGGCATGGGCCGGGGGACGCGCCTCGCTTCCTCTTCTTCCTCCTTCAGGCCCGCGTTGTAGACGGGCCGCAACCACCGCCGCAGCGAGCAGCACGCCGCGGGCGGAGCGAGTCGGCCGCAGCGACGGCAATGGGGCGCAGCAGCATTGCAGCGGCCGGAGGCGGCGAGAGGGGGGAAGGGGCCGAGAGAGAAGACACAAAGACTGTGAGCGACCGCCGACTCTGGCCCCAAGCGAGCGGGCGCCCCTGCCCCGGCCAGCGTGGGCTCTGCGGGCGTGGAGCACGGGCGTGGACCAACAGGAGGCGCACCCAACCCTGGTCGGCCGCCCGGAGATCTCTGCGCAGCGGCCCCCAGGTCAATCAATCTCAGCCTCACACTGCTGCCCCACCCGCCCTTCACTCACCAATCCGCGCTGTCCACACCCCCACTGTGCCCCGCCCTCCAGCTCTATTGGCTGCGAGAGTTAGTCCGCTGGGCCCAGCCCGCCACTAACAGAGCCCAAAGCGCCTGACCCCCGCGTCCTGTACAGCCTTCTGCCTTTTCAGTTTAAGTCGAGTTCCTGGTACTCTTGCTTTGGGTTCTGTCCGCGGAGTCCGGGCCCAGGCTCGCTCTCTCTCGCTCTCTCTTCTATCCCGTCCACCCATTCAGCAATTGACTGTTTCTTCTAACCAAACTGAAACAGGCGATGGCCACTCTTTCTGGCCACCGTTACAAAGGAACTGGCCTTTGACCTCTCCTTGAATTAATGTTATTGGAATCAACTTCCCTCCAAGGCGGTTATTTTTTAAACGGTCATTCCATTCTATGTCCCTCCACCTCCAGTTTTGGCTCTGGCTCTTTGGAGGAAGAGCCAATTCCCTTCGCAGCCAATCTCATCTGCAGAACCGAGTTTCGAGCCTAGAGCTTATTTCGGACACTTGCTAAAGCTAGCATCCCGCCGCTTAAGAAATCGGAAAGCGACTCGTGGTCCACAACAGATCAGCTGGGCTGGGAAGGTACCCGCCAGCTCTCGGCGGAATTCGCAGGCCGCTGTGCGAGGCTCCCGCGTTCTTGTTCCTTTGACATTTCCCTTCTGAAATCAGCTGGGAGGGGTCCGAGAGTGGGAGAACTTTAACGTGTTCGGTTACAGTGTAATTAGATTAATGAGGATAGTCGCCTTTTAACGCAGTGTAATTAAGCCATGATTTGTTATTGCTCAGTGGCTCTTCCACAAATTTTCCTAGTCTAGATTAATGCAGATTAATTCAAAGAAAGATCAGTTTCTACTTTTGTGATTGGATGGATCCAAAAATGGAGGAAAACTACCTGTCAGAAAGTAGGGTGATAATATGTTCCAATTTGTTATCAGTTAAGTGTGAAGTAGTATGTGATCTCTAGAATGGCGTCAAAAGGCTGGGAGCCATTTCCTACTGCCCTCACCTTTGCCGCAACTAGCTCAAGGTTGCCATTTTTGATTCACTTATAGTATACTGAAGTCGCAGTAGGCATCTGTACTCGCTGCATTACTCAGAATCTCTAATTAGGATTTTTTTTTATCAACCGTGGACACGTAAATATTCGACATGTTACAATGTGCTAATCAATGGACCAGGATAACAGGGCAAACCTATCACTGGAGCTTACTTATTAGACTCATTATAAATTGTGCAAACCACTAAATCCCTAATGAAGGATGCCTATCTTTTTTACTGTAACTTTTCATTACCTACCACATACTGTGATGGCACGAGTGGTAAACACACCTTTCACTGCCCATGATATAATTCGAGCCTTGGGCATAATATGCATAATAATATCTTCTGTGTTGCCTGGAGAAGTGACTTTTTTCAAGCAGTTACCTGATATAAATTTTAGATAATACTATGGAGTAAATACTATGAGGCCAAAACCTTACTCATTTGTAATTACTACATATTAACAGTGAAATAATGATACATTGGTAAACGTCTTTTAAAAGTAATCAAATGTGAACGCTGACTGTCAAAGTACAGTATTTTGCCAACAAAGACTAAGTAAACTTTCCTTTTCTTTAACCCAAGATTTAATTCAACTGCTATGAAAGAAGCATCCCGCTTAATAGCACACTTCAATACACACCATCAGTTGGTAAGGATCACTCACATTCAGTTTAGTTTTTGCCTTTTCCCCCTGTGACTTTCTATGATTTTTTCCTCATCCTCGACTCCCCCCCCCCCCACCCCCCGCCCCATCCTGTTCCTGAGCACGCCGGTGCTCTTGATTTTCTAATCAATAGAGGGCGCCCTCCTGTCACAGCAAATCCTGGTGTGAAAGGGAACTGCTCGAGGAAAAACTTCGTTTCTTCTAAGGTGCTTTATTGCTCCTCTGTTGTAAAATCTGACAAGCTCAAGATTTATAAGCCTAACAATTCACTTTTTATTGCTGCATAAGTGTTCAGCTGTCCTGAGGAAAATGTTAATTTTCACAATTAAACTGCAAGTTGGTTCCTATTTTCAAGATTTTAGGTCATTTGACACACTCACTAGGTAAATTTGGCCTGTTAAGCAGGTCCTGAATCCGCTTGGAAAGCAAGAGGGTGGTGTATGGTCGCTTACAGAGCATCAGGTCCTCTCTCTAGCTCCAATGCTGCAAGTTAAGCAGGATTTTAGGACTCCACAAGGAAAAATCTGGAGAGGGAGCTGGGACATGAATGTAAAATTGATGACTTAGAAAAGTTTTACATTCTAATTAGAAAAAATATCGTGAAATGACAGCTTGTACAACTCACAAATTCACACACTTTCTTGCACTTGTACTCTCCCTTTGTCTTTGTTTTCAAGAAAGAGGAGGCCAAAACAGTGCAATTAAGGGACTCAGCAAAGCAACGCTATGAACGTGCAAGTGCACAGAATTCAAACACATGCCAGCAGCATTAATGGATTCTAAACAAGATGCGGTTTCTTTTCCTGTCCTCTTGTTAACATATCTCCATTTCCAGAATTCTAACACGAAGGTCTCTGCTTCGCAGATCTACCAGGGCAGAGGAATCAGGAATCAAACCCGAGGGTGCGATTTGTGCAACCCATTGAAGAGTATGGGCGTCCCTGCCGCCCCCCCCCCGCCCCAATTCACAGTGTACTAAAAAGCAGGGGCTGAAATAGCCCGGGAGTCGGATAGCCCGGAGGAAAGCTGCTCACGGATTGTACTTACATCATTCTTAACCCTTCCTCTCCTGGAGGGGGCTCGGCTGGATCAGGGGGCTGCCGAGCTCCGGAACACGCAGGACCTGTGTGTGAGAGAAGAGCCCCAGGGCCCGGCGTGAGCGCTGCGCCCCCGGAAGGAGAGGGTCCGGGGCGTGCGTGAGGCTCATCACCCGAGCGCACACCACCGGCCCCGGCGATCCCTGCGGGCTCCGCCGCGGCTCTCACAGCTCAAAGCGGCAGGTGCAAAAAGCATTTGGGAGCCGCTTGCCAGCGCGCGGAGGTAATGCGCTTCCTGTCCATTTATCTCAGGAAACCAGCGCAGCCTTCCCTTCGAAACAAAATTAACCTCTCATTAGCCAGCCACTCACTCCCGAAAAGGCCTTAAAAGCTTTACCAGCTCGCTAATGTATTTAGGCTTCTCTTCCAGGAGAACGCAGCCACGGCCGTGACTGCCATCAGCCCCTGGGTTCCTCTGGGTTCTCCCAGGAGCCAACTGCCGACCTCCCAAAAGCTTCAATTCTGGGACACTCTGGCCAACCGGGAACCCTGTTTGCAGTACTGGCCAGACCCCGAACCGACTTCATGCCCGACGCAGCCAAAACAAGTTTCCGCTAATTCCACGAGCTCTCTTAAAATCTCAGCTCCCCTGCCCTCAAGGGGAGGCACTTCCTTGGCCAGCTGTCCCCGATTCTTGACAGCTGATTGCCCTTAGGCGTGACACCCCTGTCCGCAGCGGGTGAGGGAAGACCTGGAACACAGGGTAGTTTAAACTAGGATCTAGCTGATTCCAGGAGTGGAGAATCAAATGTGGTTCTAGATCCGCAAGTGGCAAAGAGGGGCTTTTGGAGCACCTGGGGTTTTCTCACCCTGGCCCCCTGCCGTCCTGAGGCTGGCTGATTTATACCACACAGGTGGACGGAGACCTAAACAAAACAGTCCCGGCCGCTGCCTGCCGCTCGCCCCCCACGTCCCCCTGGCCCACCGCAAACTTCAACAAAATAAACAACTCACCACAGGCATTCCCTTGTCTGCAGCGCGACGCTTGCCAGCTGGGAAAATAAGCCGCAAGCCACGCGGCCCGGGCGCATAGGGAGGGCTGTGCGGCGCCCGCCCCTCCGCCCCAGGTGGGGGCAGCGGTACTCCGGGGCAGCAGGGAGGGTCCGCCTTGGGGGCCGTTCTCCCCGCTTTCCAACACCGAGTGAGCACCGGGCCGGGGGCTGCACCCTTCCAGCCAGCGCGAACTCTCTGCCACCTAGGGGAGGGGGCGGGGAGGCAAATTCCTCAATTCCATCCTACTTTCCCTTCCAATGTCAAAGACCACGCTCAGAGGCCTCCACCCCCCTCCCGCACCACACCGCCCCCTGCCGGCACTACCCGGATTTTTCCAGCGTGGATGAGGAGTGTGGCGAGTAACCGCGTTCCAGAGCCCTAGTTTCCAGGTCCCGGCTCAGGCCTCTCTCACCACCCCTTCACCCCACCAAGTCCCGCACAAAGGCTCCTTTCACGCCGCCAGCGCCACCCTCCGAGCCGCGCTCCAGGCCAGCCTGTTGCCTTTGCCCACCCGCGGCACCACGGATTCCCGGTTGGTGATCATGCCCGCCGTCGCCAGGGCAGGAAGGTAGCAGACGCATATGGGCTCCTTCCACTTCGCGCCTCCATACAGGCGCAGATGCAGCCCCCCGCCCCCTTCCCACCCGTTTCTCTAGCTGTCCACCAGCCGTCACAACATGCACCCCTTCCTCTCCATAAAGGATCTTTGAGGGTCTTCTCAGTGTGTCTAAATGGGGGTTGGGTGGGTGGCAGGAATGATCCTCTGGACTTTCGCCGAAATAAGGAATCTAGTGATCTTTTCTGTCTACCTAAGTTACCAATGTGGCTTGAGTTTACTAGTTAAGAAAGCCCAGAATAACAATTTAGAAATTATGAGGGAGAGAGGATTGAAAGACACCTAAAACATAGGCGAGGAAGTGTGTTAATAAAGAACAAGCCCACGAAATGTCCGAGGAACGACAGTCACTTGGATAAAAGTAGGCGTGAAGGGCAAGAGGAAAGCATTTAGCTTTCTTCCCTAGGCTGATCTTCCAAAGTCGACAATAAGCATCATGGGCTTTGAGCAGTAGCTATTGTTCCGTGAGCGCATTGCCTGGGACGAGCAGACTGCTTCTCTTTATCCGGGCAAACGTTCAAGCACCCTGACTCAGGTTTTTCACTTTTTGCCAGCTGAGAAGAGTAAATCTGATGCTCTCGCCCTCTTCCTTGTAGTTTCTTGGCCTAACGCTAGAGGCAGCATAGGGCAGTGTGAAGACGGCGCAGTGGGAATCCAGCGAAGAAGGTCTCCTACTGACTTCCTGAGTGGGAGTCTAAGGCAACGGATTTAACGTCTTTGGACCTTGAGGTCACAATAAAGAAAGAGTGTGCTACGGGCAGTGGCTGGGTTCCTTCCGGTTCTGAAATTCTATGACAAGGGACGCCTCCTCGCTCCCTTTGTGGATTCCCTTTTAAAGTGTTTTCCCACTTGCTTTATCTTCAAGTGCCAATCAAATTGAAAAAAAAAAATAGTGGGGATGTTTTAGGATGAATGTGACACACACGTTGAAAAATGCTGTGTTTTTGCTACGGAGAATTAAAAACAAAACAAAACAAAACTTTTGTTTTTTAACAAAACCCTTCAGGTCCTGGTCCACAGAACAAGGGAATTGTAACGTTCCCACTTGCTTTTCCTTTGGAAAGCCACTCCAACAATTTGCAGAGCAACCCTTTGATTTAGAACCTAAAGGCATTCTCTTGCTTTTCTTTTCCCTTCCACCAACACAAAGACAAGCTGCCACATAAAATAATGATGAACAAGAGTTCAAAGCAAGCCTAGAGAGCCAGCACAGAGGATGCTTTCTGAGGCAGCCCCTGTCCTTCCCCACTCCCCTGCTAAGCTGGCTTCGGACAGCACATTAATAGCAGGCACAGGCTACCGGATTCCTAGCGCTTCCCATAAAAATAGGGCTGTGGAACTTGGCTTATAACTTGCCAATCATCATGTAAATGAAGTAATCAAATCAATACATTTAATTTTTCCTTAGTATTCGGATACTTTCCAGAATTTTTGATTCATGACTCGCTTTGGACATTGGAGCCTTAGTTATCACTCTGGACAACCTTTCTGTTTTTTATGGAATGTTTTCTGAAACCAAGACAAAAAGGTTGTTATTTCATAATGAAGTATAAATTTTAAACTGCAAATGTCTTGCTTCTTCAGTTTCAACAAAAGAATTTCAGAAATGCTTAGCTTTCACAGCAATTCACACTTTAAAATTTTGTCCATTAAAGAGAATTCTAAAGTAACACTTTCTTTGGGAAAGAAAAGTTTCTTCAAAAAATAGTGGTAGAAAAATATTTTGAGCTTGTCTGATTCTGTTGCTTTTACTTGTATTAATCTGAACGTGCTCCTTCCCCACCCCCAACAATGCCAAAAACGTTTATATTTCTAATTGGGACTTGAATGTTCCAACTGTAAAAAAAAAAAAACATGGTTAATCTTTTTCTTCACAGTATTCCTTACCTTGTTCAACGTGTCACGACTCTTTTCTTTTATCTCATTTTCATCTTTCTTTTTTCCCCCTGCCAACCAAAATAAACCAAAAAAATGGGAATAGAAAAGGAATAAGAAATCACTTTTCTGTAACATTGACTTAGCATTTCTCCATTGACTACAAAGAAACCCTCTGATGATCCAATGTGTATTTACACCATCTTCTGAATTTCCACTTGAAGGTGATAGAACTTCAGCTTCTAAAATGTTCAGCTACTGTGTACATCCACCTCTTCAGTTGTCAAGGTCATAGTTCGCTTATATTTGATGTTTCTAAGTTTCTCCTTTTGTAGATTGGGGAAGTCAACTCAATTTCAAGCAGCTTATGGACCTGTTTTCTAGTATTTCTTATTCTGATTTTCTTGTATGTTCTGCTGAAATTCTTCTCTAGTTTCAGTGATGCCCAATTCAATAATTCCTTTATTTACTATTGCTAACAAATTACACTATTTTAAGTATTACTAGTACTAATAATAAGATTGGTAAGGAATAAAACATTTATAAAATAATACTAGGAGAAAATGCTACTTCCTTTTTTGTGTGTGTCTTATACAATCAGTATTTAAATTGAGTAAAAACATAAAGGATCTAAGCCCTACTTCTACATTTAAAAGGGTGAGAATTTGCTTTGCTTACTTTCCCCTCTCTATAAAAGTGTCAGACAGTTAAATCATCAGCTTAGATAACAGATAACAGTTAAGGTAAAGAAATCTGATAAATTGTAAATTAAAAAAATGATACCTCTAGACACATAGCTAACAAGGACAAATTTTTTAAAAAGCATATTGTTTAGAAAATGAAAACTATTGCATTCTATCAGCAATGAAAGCCTAATTTTCTAGGGAAGTCGTGCAATTCATGCAATCCTAAAGTATTCCTCCACGTGTACACGATAAAATAGGTAAATGAATGCATAGTGAATAAGTAAGGTCAATATAAAAATATGTTGTAAAGAAATAAAATAAATAATACTCTCCTTGAAGCACCAAGGGCAAAGCAATTGTTTTGTCTTTTGTGTTAGAAAAGCTCTTGTTGTGAATCTTTTAGCCATTCAGGACAGCGTGAAATAGCAGAATGGGAAACGCCAGGGACGGCCCTTTCCCTACTGTATTCGTTGATTACTTTAGTTTCGGTCATTTCAGGCACACTCTCACACTATCTTTTCTAGATCTTATAAGTTTTAAGAGGCAAAATACATATCCCTAAAATAGTCGCTCTTTTATATTACATTTGCTCTATGAAAACTAAACTTCAGGAAACTGGAAAAGAACCTTTTTAAGGAGGTAAGCAACTGTGAAGTTACTCTTATATGCAGCAATTTAGACATACCATGGTAATTTAGGGTTTTGCTTGGAGGCAGAATCTCTGTCCTCACACTCACTTGTGTGCACAGTGGCAAAAACATGACAGAGTAGAATACACCACAATCTTTAACATTCCATGAAATTTATTTGAGAAATTGGATACCCCAGATTCTAATAGCCAAAACTTCCAATTAAGAGTTTTAAGTAATAAAAAAAAACTAGATGTATTCTAATATATAGATGGTATATGTTTAGATTGGGTTGTCCAAAAAGTTCATTTGGTTTTTTTCTATAGGGTGGCTCTAATAGTGCTTAGTTGTCTTTAACTTCATTCAAAATAGTTTTGTTAGATTGTGTTGTGGGAGCTGTTATATCATTGTGCATTAAAAAAAACTTACCAAAATTGCTGAATTTTTTTTTACTGAATAGATAAATTCTTTATTATTTTTTTAAATTGCTGAATTTTTGTATAGCCATTTTATTATTAAAGATGGAAGAAAATATGCAATATTTTCATCATATCATGGTTTACTATTTCAAGAAAGGTAAAACACAACTGAAAGGCAAAAAAAAAAGGATTTGTTCAGTGTATGAAAAAGGTGCTGTGACTGACTGGAATGTGTCAGAAGTGATTTGTGAAGTTTGGTGCTGGAAATTTCTTGCTGGATGATGCTGCACAGTTGGGTAGACCAGTTGAAGTTGATAGTGATCAAATCGAGACATTGAGGACAATCGACGTTTTACCATGTGGGAGATAGCCAACATTCTCAAACTATCCAAAACAATAAAGGTGTTGGTGAAAATGTACACAATAGGTGCACCATGTGGGAGACAGCCAACATTCCCAAACTATCCAAAACAATAAAGGTGTTGGTGAAAATGGAAAATGGGTCCTTTATTTTATAGAAAAAAACTAAATGGACTTTTTGGCCAACCCAACGTCTTACTAATATTAGAGACAGTTCCAAGGAGATATATTTTAACTCATCTTAATGAATTGAAACAATAATGGGACCAAAGAAATCAGTGTTTAAATAATCAAATGTACAAAAATAATAAGTGTTCTTCTCTTTCTTCTCCGATGATTTCAAATTGTCCAAGCCACATAAAGAAACTCAGGTAGTGTTTATGCCAGAAGCAAGGTTAGTTTCAAGCTTGAGAAAGAACCCAGAGATGAAAACAGTGCATGTTCATCAAAAGTTTGAGTGAAACAAGTCTGGTTGACTTTGAGAGTGGAACTTTTTCAAAAGAAGAGTAATATAGTATAGGAATAGGAAAGGATTCTCAGA